TTTGGGCGACGTTATGCAAATCTTCCCACTTTGTGACGTAGACATGTTGGGGGTGTGTTAGAACGACCCGTTTTAGGTAGGCGTGGTTGACTCTTAACTTTTATAAAGAATATCTCTTTGGATTTGAGACTTTAGTCTTTGCAACTTTACAGATCTTCTTTATGCACCAAGAGCTTGTAACACTCCAAAGAGAAAGGAAAAAAGTGTCCCCAACTAAGCAAGCCGGAGGCGACAGCGGCAAGGAACCAAAACTCCATCGGTGACAGAAATTTTTGTCACAGATGATATGCCACTCTGATTTTGTTGTTAATGTTGGATTTTTGTTGTTTTTTCGTTTGTTTGTTTTTGTATTAAGAGAAACTTTAAATGAAGAGATGTCAATAGACCATTGAGGAGCTGGGAGGTTTTAAGTGTTTGGCTTTGACAATGCATCTCTGATCTTATCTCTCATACACAGTAATGTCGTCTTGTATGTTTTTTTAACATATGCGTGAATATGTTCATTGTATTGATTGTTATCTTGTCCTCTACCCTATCTTATCTCATCTAGATCATCTTACTCGTGCCGTTACTTCGTGCTTCCCTGCTGCTTTTTTGACTTCTGTGGGAAGTACCAGCGCCGACAGTGTAAGAAGTCTCAGTATAAGGAGTACATCGACTTCATCTCTGATGTCAGCACAGTGTGTGGCTTCTACACAGAGGAGGACTGTCTGAGGATACCCTCCACCAAACGTGTAGGTTGGTCGTATATCTGTAGAGCTGGGTCACTAGACTGGACTGCTGGAGATTCACTCCTATTAGCAGTTTCTCACAGTGCCATAAAAAAAGTAAAAATGCCTTGCATCATCTTCATTTTTATTCTTTAGCTTTGCTCAAACAATATTTTGAAGCAAGGGTGTGAATTAGGGGTTTGCAGTCTCATCTATGATAGTATTGTAATTGTTGTTTTTAGGGCTGGCTCGATACCACTTTTTCAGAACCGTTCCCGATCCGATACCAAAAATTCCGAGTATCTGCCGATACCGATATCAATCCGATACAGCGCAGTTTTTTAACCCTCTAAGACCTGAGGGCATTTTTGCCTCACTGAAGTTAATGTTTTTTCTGAGTGCCATACACAAAAATAATGACTCAAAACTCCAAGACCGTAGCAAGCAGAGTCAAAAGGTAGGTATCGTTTGATAGATTCTCATGTTGAGAAATAGGTGATAAAATGTAAGAAAAATTAGTGTGGTCAAGGGAATTTTTTCATATCATTCTTATTTGACGTTCAATATCTCATGAAAGAAATAAGGTAGGAGAAAAATTATTTTTTGATGATGTTCCCCAACATATGTGCTGTATATGAATTAAATTTTGTGGTGATACCATGAAGTAATCAAAAGTTACAATATTTGGAACCAAGGTAGTCTTTCTCTTAGCCCTTGACAGTTTTGAAATTGAATTGAATTTAAAGTAATGCCTCACTCAAGTTTAGACAAAGCCCCAACCAATTACACTTGTTTTATTCTACTCGATGAGACTTTTCAAATGACATATGACACATGACTATCTGAGCTGTATGATGTTTCTGACATATTAGAGTACATGGCACAAAAACATTTTTCATAAATTATGAAAACATTTTTTTCTATTTATCCACAAATAACTCGGCACTACTTAGGAGTTAATCAAAGTGGCCACATGCATTGTAAAGGTCAGACTCCAAGCTTTCAAATTACACCTATTTTGTGTTGATCAAGGCATTGATTTTGAAAAATATGATAATTATTTTTTTCTTCGCTAGGGGGCGCCCGCCGGCGGTACACTCCGGTTTAGAGGAACTAGGCAGTGGTTAGGAATTGATCAAAATGGTTGGATGCATTCGAAAGCTGAATTTCTAAGCTTTAAAATGATACCTAATTATTAAACAAAAGTTATATAAAAGATAAAATACACAGAAATATTCTAGGTTTTACATTCTCCTTGCCAAGTGTTAAATGGAGCTCTCCAACTGATTTCTTCAATTCTTGGGTTTAGGCAGCGTCGGTGCCACGGTGGGGCCTGAGGGGGCCCGGCCCGGCTACCTCGGTCACTGTGCCCCCTCTCCTCTGGTGCCGTCTCAGTAGTGGGCGCCCTGATTTTAGTCGGTGAGGCAAGGTACTGCCCTGGGAAGGTTTCCCAGGCTGTTAAATACACAGATTAAAAGCTAAATGTTTTAATTTCGGTTCGTTCTTAGCAAAAAAAATATATTTTTTTCGTTCAGGTTATGCAGAGCGAAATAAGAACGGTGCTGCATTTAGAAAGAATTCTTATTAACTTTGCTATTATTCTTGAATTTTCAAACTGCTAACACTTTGCACTTTTATTAAATTGTACATAGGTACAATTGTACATACATTATTTTATTTACAAGTTTCATGTTTGTGTTTATCCCGTTTTTCCCCCCGTTGCATCTGAAAATTACTTTCAGAAACATATTTTTTTTTCAAAGCAGCCCCCCCAATAAATTGTGCCTGCCTCCTCACTTTGTGCGCTCTGGCGCCGACCCTGGGTTTAGGTATTATTTACACACGATAGACGCAATGGATTGTTTTGATTTTGGACTCATTTCAATCGTGAGAATCTGCTGTAAATAATGATATGCCATTTTCCAGTTATTTGTCCAGCTGCTCCTAAAGTGCGCCAGTTGGGTTTTATGTGTTATAGCAATATGAGCAATATCTTTGGATCTCATCGATGGATTATAATAACTCTGTGCTCATTTTAATCGGGAGAATTTTCTGAAAATAATGATGTGCAGTTTTTCAAGATCTATGCAGGTTTCGTGAAGTTACAAATAAAAACACAACGTGAAGCATAGAGCTGTTTTTCTTTGCAGCGCTTTAGTGCGCCTGTCTGGTTTCATGTGTTACAGCTCTATGAACGAAATCTTTCGATCTAATCGGCGGATTATGGTAGGGGTGCTCCGATTGATCGAACTATCGGCCGATAATCGCTTTGGGATGATTGATCGGCGGTCTCTAAAAGGCCGATCTAAAAAAAACGATCTCAAACTGATGCCTGCCGTGAGAGGTTTGGCTCGACATGCAGCGGCACCGTCTCAGTCTCTGTCCGGCGCGGTTGAAATAATTATAATGCTGAAGGTGAGGTACTCGCCTTCATATTTCTTAATAAAATAACTTATAAAGTAGTTTGAAAATCTTGTGTGAGATGTAATTTCACAAACAGCCTGAGTGAATCACCGCGCGCGCTCTCTCTCAAAATTCGCAAATGTCTTCAAATCACCACATCGCTTCTGTCTATAAGCGAGCTGCACAGTTGACAGGAATTGTCAATTGTCACTTGTCACCACAATCGAGGCAGTATCACATCGTCACTAAAGTTTATAAATTGCATTACTTTTTAATTCTTGCCAGTGTTTAACCATTCAGCGCTCGCACGCTATCCTGGAGACCATGCACTCATGCACACTCGCAGCGCACACACATAATGCCAGGTTCACATTACTCCGTTTGCAGTGCGAATGTGGTGCGTATTTTTTTCCGCGCTCATTTTAACAGATTAATAAAGCGTGCACACTGCACACGGTTGCGGTCCAGCAGTGCATTCCAGGAGCGGTGCGTCTGCATCAGTGTAGAGATCGTTTCTGCACCGAGTCTATTTTTGCTGCGCTGCAAGCCTGAATTAAAGTAACAGCGCATTTTTTTGCAGTAAATATGAACATGGATTGACACGAAAATGTAGTAACTACACCATAAATGCATATTATTAAAGTCTACTGTGTTTCACAGTCAACACATATGGCTTTTTGGCTAGGTTTAAAGGGAAAGAGCACTTTTAGATAAACAAGGCAATAATAGATGGCACTCGTGGAGGTAGGAAAACAAAGTTCTTTATGAACTGCAGGGTTGCTTGTAATAAAGATTTCAATGCAAAAGGAAAGGCAGTAGACCAGACTATTTCTGTCAATGGTAAGTTTGTGATAACGTAAAAAAAAAAATGTTTAAATGTTTTGCCACTTGCTTGAGCAACTTTATGTATAAGTAAATGCAAAAGTAAAAAGCATTGAATAATGTGTTGCTTATATTTATTGTGTTTAAACATGTCTGTGAAAGATTGTATTACTGTACTGTGTAAAAAAAGAATTGCAATGCTGAAAAAGCATTTTCAGTGGCAATGTTGTGGGTTTTTCAAGATCTATGCATGTTTGGTGAAGTTACGATCTAAAATGCCAAAGGACTGCAACCTCTGATTTTTTTGCTAAGCTACATGACCTAATTCTTTTCTATACGTTATAGCTTTATGAGAGATATCTTTAGACCTGAATGATGGATTATGGTGAGTTTTAATCAGGAGAATTTTCTGCAAATAATGACTTATAATTTAATAATTTTCTATGATACATGCATGTTTAATGAAGTTACGAGCTAAATCGTCACATGACAGCTACCTTAGATTTTTTTGGCTTAACTACATGCTGCCTGTGCAGTTTTATGTGTGTTATAAATTCTTGAGGAATATCTTGTAGCGTCTGGACCACTCAAACACACAATATATATTTTGTTAGCTAGATTTAACAAATACTCTGTAACACCCCAGGAAGCCGAACAGGCCCTGGATAAATGTTGTGTTTGTGGTAAACAGCCACGGATAAGTAGTGGACTCCTGTGTGAAAACGCAGTCCGTGCTGCTTCCCCTCTCACAAGAGTCACCTAAGAGGAACCCCCCCCCCATTTTCAAAAATGAAATTCAGG